GTTTTTGGAGGGAAATCTCTTTGTGGGCAGTGTATTTTTGGTTAGAACTGGTCATACCAGTCTTTGTGTTCAAACTGACAGGATGTCTTGATGTTCCTGATTTCATACGATTTGGGGTGTAGCAGTTTATTTTCTTTGATTGTTCAATTCCAGAATTTCAGGTCTGTTCTTAATATTATTTTCATGTATGATTGTGATTTTTGTATGTTTGTGTGAAAGTGAGTGAAAAAGGTGTTTGAATGGTGAATGCAAGTTTGAAAGATTGTGTAAATGAGCAGTATAAATATTTTATCAGACATTTCACTCTAATTCAAGGATTAAATTGTATATATGTAGGACTGAGTGAAATGAATAAATAAGTGTAAAGTTGTAAAACTATTTTTTTAGATAACTTGTATAACTGTAATGTGATTAATAGTAAAATTAGGAATTTTATCTTTTGTTTCATATAATTTAAATAATTCTTTCAATTTAAAAGCATAGGTATTTTTCATTAAATAAAGCAGTTATTATTATTAAAGATTTTTAAAGCAGCTAAGGGAGATTACTCATTGTTATGCATTCCTTATAGGACTGTCACAGCTACATGTGTAACAGCTAGTATATAATCCAGACCTTTTGACCATATTAAAGGTAATTTATGTGTTTTATGTTTATGTGTTGTTCCATTATATGTATGTGTTGACAGAACTTATTTTTGAGTATTTGTCATGCATGTCTATATTTTATGTTGAATTAAATTTCATATGTGTTATGTCCAATGCATGAAATTGTTTTTGTGTTAATGTTCAATATGAAATCACATAAGATTATTTGATTTAGAATTATTTAATATCAGATAATGATTTTGATAATTATTATGATTTTTTATTTTTAAATGACTAAATTAATAAAGGAATTATTTTTATGATAAATTGATCTGTGATAAAGAAGTGGTAATTATTTTTATATCAATTTAATTTAAAGAGAATATGAATTATAAAGTATGAGATTTATTATAATGATGATATACTATAATGGAGTTAAATGTGTATTTTTAGCTTGTCTAATAATTGTTATTGTTATTACAGGGTCTACTATATTATACTACTCTACTGTTACCATAGTTACTATTATTTAATAAAATACAACAATGAAACAAGGATCAACTGCGTTTTTAAATTATTCAACGAACCCTATTACAATTATGATGTAAATTCCTACAATTGTGATGTCATTCAATCCGTATGCAGTGAACGCGTCGCTCAAATTGCAAGACAGAGATGTAAATAAGCGTTAACGAAGACGTATGGAATGAACATGAAATGTCTTTGGGTTCTTAGAAAAATTTTAAATAAGCTAAATCAATTATGAAATTACATTTCGCTAATCCTTTTGTGTGTAAAGAACTATTTTAAAAGAATAGAATGATATGTTGGGTACCTGACATTTAGAAGATTCATTGGGAGGATATTGAATAAGATGGTGTGTCACAAAGTTTGGAGGTTCAGTGTCACAAAGTTTTTAAGATCCGTAGAATGCTAATTTTGCAATACTAACTGAAAAATCAATGTTATTTTTTTTTTAAATTCTACAAAAACGTTGCCATGTTGTTATGAAAAACATATCTATACAAAATTTTACCTTGGGATGTTGTAAATGTTAAGAATAATTGCCGTTTCACATATATGTACAACATGTAACTATGTGTCTCAATGAAATTTGACGACAGAAACGTTACATTTAAATGCGACACTCAATAAATTTGTTTTCATTTTTAGAATTAATTTTTCTAATTTGGCACCATACAACATTAAATACAAAATGTGCAAAATCAAAACTTCAATAAGATATATAATTGAATTGATTCTTGATAGAAGTGTTTGTTTTAGAGGCTATCTGCGATGTAATTTATCCACGGAATGGATATAAAGGGTGTAAACAAGATAGTTATGAGTAGCATTAAGCACAAAAACAACATACATATATCAATATTTTGACATGTTTATCATTATGTGTATTGATACGTATAACTTTCTAATTTTGTTCTTTAAAAAAGTTTTTAAAACATGAATTTTCAAAATTTTCATTTTATTATTGACAGGTGTAAAAGTATTCTGCAATCTACTCCTACAAATACAAAATAAGAATACAGAAAAAGAAACGAATTATATTTTGTCAAGCAGGAAATGACGTAGATCCTTTTAATCTTTTTTTTCATTCATATAAAATAGAAGGTATTTCAGATCGACTTCAAGCGAAAAGCATTACCATATCTCGGGATACCGTTATACCTCCTGTTAACAGGCACGTAGCGAAAGCCTGGGGGGGGGGGGTTCCCAAAAATCTGACAAGCACGAAAAAAAACAACCTATATTTATCAAAAAAGTGAGGGGGCCAACTGGTATAAAACACGCTTAAGGAATTTGAAATGAGTTGGTCGATTAATATTTTTAATTCTTTTCATTCTTGAAATCGAAATGCAGAAATTTGACAATATTGATAATTTTTGAAAATCTTTAAGTAACCTATTCTAAATTTGCAAAAATACAATTTTCTGTTTCTTTTTTTATATATATAAGTTTCTAATATGAAATGAGCTGAAAAATATGTTCAAAGTCTTATCTTTCATGACTTACAGGTTTGGTTTAAAGATTCAAAACTGAATCTTGATGAAAGTATGTACGAAACGGTCTCCGAAACACTGCTTGCTTAAATTTATGAGCATAACAAAAAAAAGTGTGCAAACGCATAAAACAGGTAAACTGCATAAGTATCCCAAGGAGTACGAAACCTACGATCATTATCCAGATCTGTGAGGCACATTGTAACGCAAATAAAAAGAAGGGGGTAAGGAAAAAACTTAAATATTTTTTTTAAATAAATACAAAATCTCGAAACTGCCCCACATCGAAAATCCTTTTCATCGAGAAGGTGGGGGGGGGGTCCGATTCTCGGTTTCGTTTCCCCTCCTTTTCTTTAAATGAATTATTTGTAATAGTTAGATCTACTGTAACAAAAAGAGGTACTCATTATGTAAGTGTCTATGCGAGGGTGGGAGTTAAAGGTGAGATGGGGATAAGGGCTTTGAATGAAAAAAATAAATTCAATGCTAAATCAGCGACATATCTACGCTATCCTGAAAACAGAGGGCTGGTACTAAGGGCTGCTGATATGTCATGGAATTGCTTTGAATGTATCTCAATGAAATAAAAAGCAGGTAAATTTAAATGTGATCTAAAATAAATTTTATAATTTCTACCGAGCTTTTCATTAAATGAGGCAAATTATGCACATATTTCCCTCCCGCAATATGCTTGCAAAATCGTAGAGAAGTTAATTATATTCAATGAACTGCATTGTATATTTGTCAACATACTAGGTTTATATTTTTTCTTTCATTAAAAATGTAAGTCAAATAAGTAACGTCAAATTAATTTTCTAACGTCACGTAATCTAACGTCATTTTGACGGTACCGAAATTGACACCAACACCGTGCGCGACGTCAATATAAAATTCTGTATTTATACTTGATATATTACGTCACATTACCTGTCACATTAGTAAACCAGTTGCTTACTTTAATTAAATAATAAACAAAATATATAAATTTAAGGAAAAGAAAATCATGAAAAGATAAAGGTAAAGTATATATATGCAACGAAATATGTAATGTTTTTAAGTATAGAAAATACCTTTAATTATTGTATGTGTGTTTTCGAAAACATTTAAATCCGCCACCATTACAGGTAGATCGAATATTAAATTGCAATCTATTTATAAATATATGAAGGTCACACAGGTAGCTTATCGACGCTGGCAGTTATGAGTGTGTATGACGGAGCGTTTCCTTTGGAAGAAAAACAAAAATAGAAACAGTAATCTTACATAGTACGGTAATCCATGTAAATCAGAAAATCTATGATCTACAAAGAAACAATATTAGACAGCGGAAGCGATAACGTACATATATTTCATGTACCATAGCAGCGGTAATTTTCTTTTGATCTTAACTGTGGGTATCTGTACATAACCATTGATACCCAATAGGCGTGGCAAAACTGATATCATAAAATCATGACGTAATTCATTTTCAATTATTTTCTAACTTTAATATTCATTGCAAAGGTACATTTTCCTCAAAATTAATTAACAAAGAATTCACATACATTTGTAGTACGCCTTTTCTGTCGGAGGAGAAATGATCCACTGTATAAAATGAAAATTTAATACTTAATCTCTACTTTTACAATGAACACCCTTTTTAAAGGTTGAAATATACTTGACAATTGTTAAATGTGTTTTTACACTCGCAATCTCCATGCTTTGGATTTTCAATTTCGTCCAAGGTTTTTGCCTTTTTGCCGACCGGTTCATCTGGTTCCAGTGCATTGGAAATATCACGTAGCATCTCCTCACTTGGACGCTTGTATTTACGGACACTCTCTATAGATCTGTGGCCTGTACGTTCCATAATTTCCTGTTCCGGTACCCCAGCTTGGTAGAGAGCGGTTGCGCAAGTGCGCTTACCCGAATGATTAGAAAAGAATCCGGGAATTCCGGCTTTATCACATATTTTTCATAATTGTAGATAATTTGTTGACTCCAGTGGGTTGTACACTGAAACGGACTTCGCTGTTTTCTCTGTTTGCCAATGGTCGCCGGTAAAATCTATTATTTTCTGAATTAACCACCACCAGATTGAAGTATTCCTTGTAGATATTGTATACTTTTTCGCCCTGGAAGTGATGTCATATCGATTTCGCGCTTACATGTCTTTGATACAACCCACCTTAAAAAAATGACATAGTACATTCAATTTGTAATTATTCTAATAAACATTGCACAATTTAGTTTTATCAATAGTTTTGTTCGCAATAATGAATTTGTAATTATTTATATAAATTCTATGTAAGGTCAAAAGTAAATTAACAGAGGGATATAGAAATTATTTTTTTTTTTTAGCATTTTGCGCCCCATGCATTTACAAACCCGATTAACAATTTGTATTGTGCTTAAATTAGTAAATCATTTTACCTTTGTATGTCTTATTTGCCCTTCCTGTGAAATTTATAAACTTGCCCTTTTGGTCTTGACCCAACTCAAACTGGTCTACAGATAATGTTTTGTGTTCGTCAACAGCTCTCAGACCAAAAAGTTTGCAATTGTAGAAAAAGAGAGTATTTAGCATAGATTCTCCTGTACTGTTGCCGAGGAGACCCTTTTCCCAAAGAACATGTTCTACCTCTTCAGAAATCGGCTCGGCCTGCTTAGTAGACGTCCCCACTCCTTGTGTGGTAAGTTCTGCCATTCGCGCGCTAAGAGTCTTCCGGAATTCGTAAAATTGGGAGTTCTTTTCATCTAGAAAATTCAAATGCACACCATTTTCTCGCAAATGTCTTAAAAGTCCAGTACACAGCATGTAAAGTGTTTTTGGAGGGTACGCCTTGCCATCTTTGCGTCGCGTTTCAACAACAAATCTTGACAACCAAAAATTAAGTTCCTCTGCAGAGAACGACAGAATATCCGGAATCTGGTCGCCTGTTGTCAACATCCGAGCGGAGCGCCAGTCGTTAAAAGTAGTTACCGACCAATATGTGTTCTTGCGGGTGTTCTTGCTCTCTGTTGAATTAACCAACTCTTTTAAATCACTGTCATTTACAAAATGATCATAACGACCCACCGGCATCTTAGATCCTCCCTCCTTTTTTGCGAGCATATCAAAATCAACCGCGTAGTTCAATTCCATGTCATCGGGTCCGGGGTTGTACAAGGTGATTGCCTGAGATAGGGTGATGTTCTCTAGCAAATTTTCGCACTCAATCTCCTTCTCTATCTGCTCGGTTGCTTGCGAAAGAGTAATGTCGTCAATTGTAGTGTCCCATAGGTGCTCAGTTGCTTCTGAAAGAGTAACGTCGTCAATTGTAATGTCCCAAAGGCTCCCCAAATCAAAAAAACCCTCGCAGATATCGTCCACGTCCATTTTTCTGCTTTATCAACCGTCCACATTCACTTCTAAGCGGGAAATGAAGCGCCGAAATTTCTTTTTGCACGTGCAAGATACTTTGTATGGCTCTGATACATGTGACTTACACAATAGGTTTTAATTGGTTATGTACAGAAGGACGAAGGAGGAGCAAAAATGTCACTCGGACGCTGCGCGACCTCGTGACATTTTTTCCCCACCTTCGTTCTTCTGTACATAACCAACTAAAACCTATTGTGTAACTACTACTATTATTCAATTTTCATAAAATTTCAACTTTCGTTTTGAAAAAAAATTCTTCCTTGAGGTATGAACATAAATATATTGCTTAAGAACACAGTAATTGTTATATCTTTGTATGCATGAGTGTAAAACATTATCATAACCAGTATATATTAGTCTTATTTTCATGATTGTTTCATCACTGAAAAAAAATTGAATTTCGATTTTTGATATTTTGATTTTACGCCCTTTCCACTGTAATCACTTATATAATAACCTTTAGATAGGAAATGAAACTTGATGTAAAGAAGATCTGAAAGTAGTTCTCTTTCTGTTTGATGATAACAAAGCAAGGGACACCAGACAAATTTAGATAAAATTCATCTATTAAATTTGAAAACTGTTTCTTTTTCACAAACTATTGATGGGGGTTGTGATCTGAATATTTCGCTAAGTATCCGTTAAAAAAAGAATTGTAAACGATCAATATGAATATTGAATTGCACTTTGCTTTCTCTCACATAAACCCTACAAACTGCCGCATTTCAGATATTTAATAAATGTTAATAGAATCCAAAGACCCTGTGAGTAAGTTATAATATGTAATTTGGGACGTTGAGCTGAAGAAAAAAACTTGACCATGAGGATTGTTATTATCATTTGTGCAGATTTTTCTTTAAGGATATGGTGATGAAATAGAATATCGCAATGGTGGAATTCATTCACGTAGTCAACAAATTAAATCTAAATTTCATGCTCTTCGGTTGTACCGGATGTTCATTGCATTTAACTGAGAAATGTACTCCAGGGCACAACATATATTTTTTGCCAAATCACATCTACGCAATATTTTAATTCACTGCATTATACTAGCACATGTACAAGCTACATGTACTAATGTAACGCTTATTTTTACTCTTACTGGATGCAAATTCATATTTGAGAATAATTATTGTCACCAATCTGGATCTGAACTCTCCTTATGTAGGTGGAATATTACGTGTTTCAGATTTTCTTTCATTTATCTGTCATCACTGTGGTCAGATTTTGCTTACCTTACAGCTGTCTGGTGATTTTTGTTTTGATGGACTGTTATTGTAGAATCAACCAGAAGTCTCTGACAAGTACTGGTTGTACTTATAAAGGAAGATGAAAGTAGCACTTGGACTTGAAACTTTGCAACAGCAATAAATAGAATAACGATCCTTGGTTAAGTCTCTTTTCGTGGCAAGATTTATTGCAATCAGACTAAAATTGTAGGAGGAGTATACTTTTAAAATAATTTTACAGAAATTTCAATTTAAGTAACCATGACGTCATTCAGCAAAATCAAAAAACAATAACGACAATTATGCATCTCAGTGTAGTCTACTTGTATGCCAAGTTATACTGAAATCAGACCAAAAAAATGTAGGAGGAGTAACGGTTTGAAAGTATTTCAAGAAAACTTCTATTTTTAGTAACCATGGCAACAATGTTCATCGAAATCCAAAACTGGTAAAGGTAATTAGGTATCTTAGTGTAGTCTACTTGTGTGCCAAGTTATACTGAAATCAGACCAAAACTGTAGGAGGAGTAGTATTTTGAAGAAGGTATTTCAAAGAAATTTCTATTTTTAGTAACCATGGCAACAACGTTCATTGAAATCAAAAACCGATATACAGAATTATGTATCTTAGTGCAGTCTCCTTGTGTGCCAAGTTATACTGAAATCAGATCAAAACTGTAGGAGGAGTAGTGTTTTGAAAGTATTTCCAGGAAATTCCTATTTGTAGTAACCATGGCAACACAGTTCATTGAAATCAAAAACCTATACACAGAATTATGTATCTTATTATAGTCTACTTGTGTGTCAAGTTATACTGAAATCAGATGAAAACTTTAGGAGGAGTAGCGTTTGAAAAGTTTTTCACGGAAATTTCTATTTTTAGTAGCAATGGCAACACCGTTCATTGAAATCAAAAACTGATACACAGAATTATGTATCTTAGTGTAGTCTACTTATATGTTAAGTTATTTTGATATCAGACCAAAACTGTAGGAGGAGTAGCGTTTTGAAAAATTGTTTACAGACGAACAGACAGACAGCTAGACAGACATACGGACGGACGACGGACACCTTACTATCGCATAAGCTCTTCTGGTCTCTGACCAGTAAAGCTAAACATTACAGTATACCCGCATCGTTATTCTTTACAATTCTATCGTGTCCTATCGTGCGTTTATCCTATCGTATCGTGCGTGTATCCTATCGTATCCTATCGTATCGTGTTTTCCGTTTATCAGGTTTTGCGTTTTCTATCGTGTTTTCCGTTTATCAAGTTTTGCGTTTATCGTGAAGATCGTTTATCAGGTTCTATCGTGTATCGTGTTTTGCGTTTATCGTGCGCATTCGGAAACCCTCACTTTTTAACTTTACCTTGAGAAGAAACACCCGTGGTATCCCGAGTTCATTTTTCGTTTTGTTAATTTATTTAGGATTAATTTAACCGTTGAACAGAATCACAAATTAATACTCTAACGCTGGTATATATGTTTAAGAAAATAAATAAATAAATAAATAAATAAATAAATAAACGTCAAGTACCGTGACCAAGCAGACAGTGTAAATCGAAAGCCAAATTCTTTTTTTGGACATGAAATAATCCATCTACTAGTCATTCGTTATTTTTTTCCCTTTAATTTGTCTATTTGTAAGAAACATTTTTTGTCAAAGATAGAAATATTATACTTCCTTTACACAGAGTCACAAAAGCAAGACATTTATTAACTTTGCTTTGATAATTATAGAAACATAAAGCAGTAGATATGTGTGCAAAAATAAACTATAAATAAAAAAATATCAGCATCATTATTACATGTAAGTCAATCCTTTCTATCAATAACAGAAACATAAATTTTGTCTATGCGCGCAAGTTTTGTTGTTCCTTTTTATTTATTTGTTTCTCTGATGTGTCAACAAGTTAAATTACAGTTTATTTTACATGAACATGCTCCATTCAATTCATCATATGATAATTATATATTTTAATATAGATGTTTGCCATTCATATTTGACTACTGCATTTAGAAGATGTAAAAACAAAAAATAAGTAAAAAAAAAATAAATAAACAAAACCATACTAATTTTTATTATACAACTTACCTATTTCGACGTGGAAATGAAGTGAGTATACATGTATATTAAGTGACAGGTGGAAGCGCTTCCGTGACAAGAGAACTGACACCTAAACGTACCTGCCTAATCAGTACACTGTCTTCTTGTCAGGTCAAGAATCCACCCCCCTTTCCCCCTACATGACCGGCCCTTGTGTATCCAACGTAGACATACCTGAACTCTTCTCTCACCTGGTGTCAGGTATTTACCTGGAATCCTACTAGGTTTCAATGAAATGCATTTTCTTATTTTCTGGATTTCGTTTGAACAACACTTAATTAATAATTAAAGATTTTATACTAAGAAAATTGGTAAATGTACACTTCCGTTACAGATTAAAAATTTAATAAATGAATCAAATAAAATATAGGCGAGTTTTGTCCCCCAAACTCCTTTGATTTAGTTCATTTGTATACTTTTATATAATTTTTATAGGTTTACAGTATTAAACATTATTGGTGTGATCAAATTTAAAAAAAAATGCGCTTGTGGTACTTCCGGATCTTTGGGTTTTCTATGAAAAATAAAAAAAGATAGATTCTATTAATCAAAGAATATGGTAAATAATTCTTAGCAGAAAAATACGAACTTTGCCTCGCACGATTTTTTTTCTTATTAAAAAGGCGCCTCAAAGATACATGTAAAAAAATTAAAAGAAATCGCCCGGATCTGCCGTGATACACAAGACGAGTAAATACCTTAAATTTAATATTAGTGTTTATCGATTGCATTTAATACTTGACTATATTCAAGAAGTCAATATATATTTTTATTTATTATTTATTTATTTATATTGCTCTTTGAATTGGATCTTTTTTGAGTGGTTATGGAACACCCCCCTTCTTCCCCGCTGACTATGCTTCAAGTGGGATTAAGACTTTCATAATTTATTACAAAGTTTTGTCTAATTTTGCCGATGTAGTTCTATAAAAGATAAATTTTGTAACAATTAATACAAAGTCCAATAGCAATAATTTACAATTATTCAGTCCGAAAATCCCCTTTTCGTATTGTGGAAATTAATTTATAATTTTTTTTTTGTGTGTATGTTCTAATATGTTGTATACAAGAGTATGTAATAATTCAATGTTAGTATTTAATGCAAAGTTTAAGTACCCAATAAATATATTCACATACATTGTAAGCTTAGCATACGCGCGTCAATAGTAGATACAAATTCTGTTATTGTAAATGTTTATAACACAGGCATGCGTAGAAAGCAATTTCATTTCTTTGGGGGGCGGGGGTCTAAAAAGAAATATTTTGAAAAGCAAACAAAAGAGGCTAAAGACATTATTATTGTTGATGGGCAATATTATCATTATATTTCTACTATATACTACACATGTTGGTACACTGTAACTTTTTTAGGTATACGACTGCATGCTCCCTTCTTAATTTTACATGCCTATAGCATTAGAAATACCAGAAAATAAATACAAAAGAATGGAAATGCAGTATTTTTTTTTTTCGGATACTAGATGATGACAGATCTAGTGACGTTTATTAATTTTATTGAATTCGATTTCTTTCGGCCGGTCTCCTTCCACATATATACATAATTTTATACAATGTATGTAGGAATACGTAAATACTTTCTATGTGCACGGGATATGTGTAACATATATATTTATATATAGGAGAGATTATTTAATCACAGTCCAGTGCTCAGTCTGTGTCAATGCAACTAGCAATTTCAGCAAGTCATGTGTTCAAAACGTAATAAAAATAAAATTAATTTATATAAAATATAAATTTAAGCAAGTTCGTAAAAACATTAACATTAAATAATTATAATTACTTTTTTTCCCGAATCCCCCCCCCCCCCAAATTATGACAAGTAAGTTTTTTGTAAGATTTGAATTATTAAATACAGATTATCAAAGGGGATTTTGGATACGTCGCAGACTTCTAGCACAAGATATTGAATCTAAATATTTCACTATTTACATGGAGTTCTTCCGTAAAAATAATCAATGTTTGTTATGAATTTCATAGGGTTTCATTTGTTAAAATAATGAATATATTTATAGCGTTTCGTGAATCTATTGACATGGGTGTAAAACTTTGCTTGTCTAGGTACTAGTACCGAATTTTTGAGCCACCTATAGATTAAAATCTCCGTAATTAAGCGATTCAAAATTCAAATTTAATGATTCGATGGAATTTCGACATTTGTATAATTACACAAACAATCGCCTAATTTCCATCATAGATTTGAATTAATCTTAAATAATTATACAGTTTGAATTTGATGACGATCAGTTTTATTGACGGAAAAAACGTATCTTTTACAAAGCATCATTACTTCAGATGTTTTATCACGATAAAATTAATATATTTTATCATTTAGATTTGCGGCTTTGTAAGTAATTAAAATTATTATACTACTAAAAAGGAAACTTTTCGTCTTGTCAAAAAGCGTTACGCATTTTGAAACAATCCTATCAGGCTTTGCGTTTATCCTATCGTGAAGATCGTTTATCAGGTCTATCGTGTTTTGCGTTTATCGTATTTTGCGTTTATCGTGTTTTGCGTTTATCCTATCGTGCGTGTATCCTGTCCTATCGTGCGTGTATCCTATCGTATCGTGCGTTTATCCTATCGTATCGTGCGTGTATCCTATCGTATCGTGTATCCTGTAAAGAATAACGATGCGGGTACTGTAACAGCGAGTTCTGTACATTCGGTTTTCCACTCCCTGCCCTAGTGTAAAACACAAGCAGTTGTGTGTCGGACATATGGTAAAAAGATCCTTGACTGATTTTTAATAAATATTTTTGACTGCAGATGCCAAAATGTCCTACGAAGGGTTCGGATATGTTGTGGATTCCTGTCCTCTAAGTAAAGAAAATACAACTGAGGCAGCTACGAGATTGAACTGTAGTGTTGATGAACATGGACGTAGTCAGTATGTGTGTGTTCCCAATGAAAACCTAACAGCCATTGTAGAATTCTGTTATACCAAGTCGATTGTTGGACTCTATCAGGATGGTAAAAACATAAAGTTTATAGAGCTTTTGACATAAGAATAGTCGCCCGCGTGGCGCAGTGGTTAGAGCTTCTGCTCTAGAGTCGCGGGGTAAGGAGCTGATCCTTCCGTCGCGGGTTCGAATCCACTGCGGGACGTGGAAACCGGTCCTTCGGATGAGACCGTATAAACGGAGGTCCCGTGTCGCAGTAGGTATTGGCACGAAAAAGATCCCTCACTGCTCAATACCCTGAGTGCCGAGTATAAGTATAAATTTGCAGCCCTCCTCCGGCAAATGGTGGCGTCTCCATATGAGTGAAAAATTCTCCAGAGGGACGTTAAACAATAAAAAAAAAGGAGACAAGAATCTCTCTCTCTCTCTCTTTCTCTCACCTAAATTACTGAATATAAGTAGAAAATTAAAAGTCTGATGTAAATACGATTCTTTGGGATTAACTTTTTCGTATTGATAAATTTTATATGAACTCAATTAAACTCATAATTTTGCAAACTCAGGTCATTGTTTGAAAACAATTAGAGATGGATTTTTGGACCAGATCAGCTGTAAAAACTTTACAGAAGGATGTCCAGCAGAACATTATAGAAGTACAGACCTGTACAAATGTAAGAAACTGATAAAATGGTACAAAAACAAATCACATCAATATCAATTTAATGTTTCGCTCTTAATATAGCTTAACTTGATTTTTTTTTTTTTTTTTTTTTTTTTTTTTTTTTTTTTTTTTTTTTTTTGCATAGATCCAGCTTGCAGCCATCTTAACACAGAGGACCGATGTTTTCTTGCAGATCCCTCTTGCAATTCGTGAGTTTCTCGATAAAATTTTGTTATAATTCGATTTTGTTAAAAATCAATTAAATCCTATTTCAAATTAAAGATAATTTTATTAATACTCAAAAAATATTTCTTATCTCCCACACTGATGAGGTAAATGGCTATTTTTCTTCTTTTTAAAATTGAAATCTAATTCGGAAACTTAAGTTGTGAAAAATGAAAAAAAAAATTACTCTTGAAATATGTTCCCGGAAACTTTACAGTAGCAAACCTTCATACATTTCTAAAACTTTTCAAAACATTTATTGAACTGTAAAGTCACTGTAACATTAATACTTTTTTCGCAAATTATGTGGACTGATAAAGCAGTTTTTTAATTAAACATAATTCACTTCATTAGTGTGAGAGACACTTATATTATTGCAAAGATGTTTGAATTGTTGGAAGAAGAAAAATGAATTTCATCCAAATCTTCTACAACTTCAAAATATATACCTTCATGTAAAAATTAGTTATTTGATTTTTAACTCTTATTCTTTTTTTTCAATATATTCTAACACTTCAAAAACCACAATGATGGGAAAATCGACATCCTTACTGTTGATCTTGAATACGATCACTGGTTACAGTTATTACAATACTTCTAAAGCTGCTATAGATGATGGAGTCGTTAACGTATTCCTTGGTGTCGTCATATCTATCCTGGTACTTATGGGGATTCTGGTGATAGCCTTTTTGTCTTGGAGACATTGGCAAAAACTGAAGCGTCACAAGGTGTACAAGGAGTATTTAGAAGGTACATTTGTATTTGATATACATTAACCAATGCAAGTTAAATTGAATTATAATAGCATACCAGAGGTACATGAAAAGCTTACACTATGAACAAGTGCAAAAATTGCCTTCTTTGTAATTAATGTACCCATGTGTTTTTCTATCTTTACAAAATGTGTAGAAGTTTTATAGATCATCGAAAAAAGCAATGTTTCCAGGTTGATTTAATAATAATCAGAGTATTTTTCTACAACTTGTGTTAAGTTTCATGCAAAAGACTAAAAAACGTTTGTCCGTAATATCTTGGTTACTCTCTTATGCATGTACATGTAAATAAACATTCATTTAACAAGGCCCAATCTACTTGGTCTGCGCATGCGTTTTACATTGTCACTGCGATATTTCAGACTCTTTAAAGTACCCTTGATTGCTGTCAAAATTAAATACATTTAAATGACGTCAAATTGCGCTATAATATTTCGCTATTCTTGCATACCTGGTAGGTCTGCCTCGTTAAGTTTTTGTTTTTTAATATTACACATTTTATGCTATCCTGTCCAAAATATGTGCAGAATAATACTGCACATCTCTTCGCCCATGTAATATATAAATAGTGCATGTTTTTTGAATGTAACAGTTGAAATTGACACCCCAAGGAAAACCATTGTCAACCGACGCGTCAGCGGAGGTTGACAATGGTTTTCCGAGGGGTGTCAATTTTAACTGTTACCCTCAAAAACGTGCACTATTTATTTTATTATACTGAATGTCTTATTGATTTCGGATGTCATAAAAAATTCGGAGATCGTCGTTAAGTTCACGCTTAGAAAGCTTTAAAACTCCCCGCTTCTATTTTTCTCAATTAGAAAGCTTCGGAAAAGATTTACCAACCTCTTTATTGTTTGTTACTCAAAAAGTCCTTTATCATGTAAAGTTTGCACTCGCAAGGATGTTTCGTCTGTCGTTTGTTGTTTTCAAGTAAGCTACATCGGACGCAAGCTTTTATTGGCGTCGTTTATTCGGTTTCTTTCAAACACACAACCGACGTTTTGAGAATTCTACGGTGAACCGTACGCGCATGATTTGAACGCATGTGACATTTTCGTAATGTTACCCGTTGTCAAGTGTGTTGCTAACGCTGAGGGTAACATTACAGACTGTTAAATGCGTCTAAACCAATCAGATTTTAGTATTTACCATGAAAGTAAAATAAAGGCAAATAATGACCTCCATAGAATATTGACCAGGAGTCATTTTTCGCCGTCGAAAATTACCTCCAAGCCGTAAAAAAAATGTCATATTTGTAGAGAATGAACCCTAGCCAACTTGAAAGTTGAAAAACTCAAGAATAAAGTCAGAATCCAGACAATGGAATTTTGTGTTTCGTACATGTAATGTACATTATAGTATTATTTATAACATATTATAATTTGAGCAAAAAGTCTATTGCAGTATTAATTTCGTATAATTTGCGTTGAAGTGCGAAAATTGGCATTTTCCCATATAATCCTATAGTAAATGTACCTGTATTTGAAGACAATATACAACGAATGTATTCAAATATATTCGAATATTCGATTAGATATCCTTTCAAGTAATTTTTATTGTGTTTCCTGCTTCAAGAAATCCTTCCAGATGCAATGACTGTAACATCTTGTTTCAGAAATAAAAGTTACCTTGGAATCCATATATAGATCTCACTGAACTAACATTTATCATATGGTGTCACTGACTTGTAAGACATGTGCGATAAGAAACAGAGGGGTGAATCAAACTATTTCTCCTTTTGTAAAGATAAATATGATCATAAATTTTTATTTTAAAAATTTAAGCTAAACAAGTTGTTGAAGTTGTTTCTGCGTCTGTATGGATGTGCCATACCATCTTAAATCATTTTTTTTTTCGCAAAAGTTCGTTTCTTGAAGAGAAATTTTATCCAAATTGTTGACCATTTAATAAATTGAAAAACACATAACTCTGTAGCAACCGTTAATGATAAAACGCCGCTTAATGATAGAAATATCATAAAGGGATGCAATTGCAACGCTTAATGCTATAAATTTTTGCATTATTAGTGTTTCAACGACATGGAGAAATATTTCTCCAGAACTTTTATTTTAAAACACTAAAACCAATTTTATGATTGATTATATGCATAAAATGTATGGTAATCAATTAATTCACAACAAAGCCCCCTAAAACCCTACTACAATTCAATAGGAATATGAAAAGTGCTAGTTAAAAAATCTTTTTAAAAAATCCTTTGAGAAAGTTCTTGAATTGAAATCATTGTTCAGAGAAAAGTGTTGTCTAAATCGCAAGATGAAAGAATTTCAAAAAAGAAAACTTTACCCCCCCTCCCCCACCACCACTACCCTGTGGCAAAGGTAAAAAATATAATTGGGCCCAGTATTTCTCAAAAATTTAAATAGAGATTTTCAAGGAATGCATATGTCCCCTGCTGTAGCATCACTAAACATAAAATAAGTCCAGGAGTTGCCGGCTATTTACTTGCATCTGTCTGCAAGGGAAAAAATGCGATAAAATGGCATTCATCATACTATATGACTATCGAATGGGAATTGGTTCCTCCAACCTCAAACTAAAATGATTAATGAAATCGAAATTATTAGAAATAATAACATTTTACTTTATTCAAACGTGCTAAATTAGATTCGTAAATAGAAAGATTTCAGTTTGTCTTTACTGCATTTGTCAGCCTACAACGATCCATTTCTTTATATCTTCTAAGTACTTAGATTTCAGATTTTGTGATAAATGTATACCATACAGTTTAAAAGTGCAATTCTTAAGCTGATCAATATGCTAATTATCGAAGCACTGCCTCTAAAAATTCAAATGACATCGGTTTAATTAGTTTTCCGACTGGAGTATTTATGAAAAAATATGTCAAAGGTTATCTGATGAAAAACAGTGCACATGCTAAATAGCAGTGACTAACCTAAGAAATGTAAAAGTATGCTGTATATCGCCACTATTTTCTATTTTCAGAAATATGTCAAAGACCAAGTTCAAATGTCAAGGTCATAATATTTTACAAAAACCAAAGTATCAGCAAAATATCAAAATCAATACCACTTAAAAGCTCTCAAGATATCAGGTCTGATAGACAGCTAGTAAGACATACGGACAGACGCCATGTAAATCCCTAAATGACGATCTGCTGTGAAAGTTGCACTAAAAACCGGGGTTTTATTACAAAAATATCTGCAAAATTAATGTAAAATAAGAAAATTTGAAGTATTAAGGACCCATTCTTCGCTGACGCAAAACTTTTTTTTTGATTGACAAAGTTATATTGTACATTCATGAAGGTGTTAATGTAGGTATTAAACTCATTTAGTTCAACATTATTTATGCCCATTTAAAAGATACGTGTCGTTGTTTGTTTCTTTGTTTGTTTGTCTGTGATTGATGAAAAACATACTGATCTCTCAATCTGTGATCACGTGCTCTACCCATTGAACTAGCTCGCACCGGAACAGTCACACGTGATTTGTTGCTTGAAATGTACCGGTAACATCAAGTATAAATAAAAGTTATTACATCCACAACTATTAATGATTCAGCCTTCCTTGAAATAATTAGATAAAAAGATTGATAAATATTACATTTTTGATAAATTCATCGGGTGTATAAAAGTAAACCATCTCACTAGTTGACTCTTAATATTTTTTTTGATGTCCACTTAAAAAAATAGAGTATAAAAAGGTGTTTAAAAAATGTGAAAAAAATACATTGATTTGTTTAAAGATAGATAAGTCAGCAGCTAAAATGGATAAAGATTCCTCAGAGTAAGGAAACTAGTGCCGTGTTAATTTGGTTTGTCAGTTTCCTTTGCATAACAGCACAAATAATTAATTTGCATATATCTAAGATATTTATCAAAATGAAAATTTAAACATGCTAGTTTGGTTTGGTTGTTTGACAGTTTTCTGAATGGTAGTTAAATTATTTCCATTCAAATTGTATAATATTGAAGAAGACATAAAACGATTTTTTTTACAAATATAAATTAAATATTTGGCAATAAAAGTTTTAAAAGAAATTGAAATTTCAGAAAAATTGTTAATTTTCAAGATTGCACCAATCTCAATTGATGAAAAAAAAAAAACCAGTGAAAATTAACTAAAAATTAATAAAATACTGTAAATCTGAGACAGGTGTCAGGGAAAAAAATTAACTTGCTTAATAAGTTGAACTTCAAATAATTCGTAAACATATCGCAGCCAAGCAATCTTGAATTTGGTCTATTTAATTCTTGGTTTACCTACATTCATTTTTTGGTACTTGAGACCACGGTAACTTATTCAATTTTTCTGCGCAGGCGTACAATAAGGAGAAAGATATAAAGCAATATTTTTGTCTTGGGCCATACAATTTTTTTTTTCCGTAAAAGTAATTTTTTTTTTAGGTTCCGGAACCTGAAATTTTCTGAAACTTAATACTTTCAGGAATTGAACAAAATTTGCACGGGTCATGCAAAAATTTTATGCTTGTCAATTTTCCCTTTTTTTGCTTCACGCTATCGCTTTCACTTAGATCGGAATATATAGGTTCAATTTTTTAAAAAAATCATTTTCTCTAAAATTTTGCGACTTTTTTTCAATTTCTTAATAAAATATGATTGTAAAGTATTTCTGTTATGTTTCTTGGAGATTTTTTTCCAAAGATTTTAAAATATATAAAATAGTTAAACAGGATGGTCAGAGAAATTTTTATTCCATCAGTTGTTTCATTACTGGAAAGGGCCAACGAAATAGAGGACGAGAAAGGAAAAGGAAGGAGGGAAAAGAGAACACGCAACCGCTCAAAATTTTATGATAAAGGTGATGACTTCAACTTTTCTATCGTTAACTTCCCTTAATTATGTAACAATATACCATTTTACTGGATATGGAGTTTATGCCTCCGAGTTGATTCGATACGCAAGGGCATGATCTACGAACAATTTCTATATCGAGGCAAACTACTGACAAAGAAGTTGATGAAACAAGATATCAACAGTCTCGTTTGAAGTCAACATTTCGCAAGTTCTATGGTCGATACAATGACCTTGTCAGTAAATACAATCTATCATTAATTCGAATGCTGACTGAGGTTTTTCATACTAATTGTTAGGCCATTTTACACACTTGATTATCTACGGATTTTTCCGTTTCCCTGATCATGACAAGGAGTGACCGGTCGATAACGAGTGCTTACTCCTACATGGCACCTGACCCCATCTCTGATGTATTTAGAGGTCTGTGTTTGCTCTCCCCCCGATTTGTATTTTATCCATGGACTTTTGAGCTTGATTTCTATTCATTATCTCCATATTAAACGCGCTTGTATGCGTATGTCTGTGAGTGGGTTATTTTGTCCTTGTGCACTAAACGGAAGTCACTTAATTTGCATCGAGTTCGATATCGACGGTTACCATGCTCTATTAGATAATTATGTTCTTTTGCGAGGGATGCTCCTCTTTGCGGTGCCCTTGTTTATTTTAGTACAAAATCAGAAGAGGGAAGCCTTTTGTGCATATTTTTTGTTTGCCTGTCCCCAGCGTGGTGACCTTAAGGCACTAGGATAGACCCTGCTCTTTATTCTGTAGCACATTAAACATACATTTTTGTTTGCATGGTGTGGCAAATATTAACATGAGGTTAAGAAATTTAGTTTAATAAAAACTTAGTGACTTATCCAGTTTAGACTGAACCTTGCAAGGTCATACAAAATTTTTGCAATAGTAGAGTTGTATTAGCGCAGGAAAACTATACTTTCCAATACTATACACTTATTCGAAGTATTTAAGCTGTAAATTTCATTCTGAAAATTCTGTGGAAACACAATAAATATCGCAGGAAATTCATTCGAACTGAAATATATAAGACCCACAGTATTCGTCATAACACATAAAAAAAAGGGGGGGGGGTGCGGACAGTGATTTAATTATCTCACAATCAAAGGTCTTTCAGAAATAAAATTTGATAGACCAAAAAGAAAAAATTATCAACTCACACAAATTTCAATGTATTTCATGCACTTTCGGACCCCGCTTTTTATTGGGGGGGGGGGGGGGGGGCAAATTTTTATCATTATGGGTGCAACTGCAAAACTTAATGCTACATTAGTTTGTATCATTAGCGGTCGATCATGTCGATATTTGCTTGTTTGACTAAGCGTTGGGACTGCACTGCATTTTTGACGCTCAATGATACAATTCTATCATTAAGTAGTGATTTAGCATTAGCGCTTGAGAATGTCAACTATTAATGCAATAATTTAAGGCATAAAGCGTTGCAATTGCAACGCTTCATGATATTTCTATCATTTAGCGGCGATTTATCATTAGCGGTTGCTACAAGGCCACCTTTACCTTCTTCTCAAGGGGTAAATGAAATATGCAGGGTATGGGGTAACTCGATGTGTCTTAAATGTAGAAGGACTCACCTTATGGATTCTCCTTAGATTCATAAGTATTTTAAGGCTTGAATTAAAAAAAAGCTGTATGCTAAGATTAATTTAATTAATTCTAAATAAATTGAAATAACTTCCACATGTAACAAGGCAAAAAACGCATTGTAGCAAAATTATTGTTCATATTAAAGGAAATGAATGCAATAAATGATATCCAAAGAAAATATTTGTCAATTTTTTTTTAACCCGTCTCTCAACGATTCTGTCATCAACTGTTTTGAATCACTCTTAGGGGAACATCACTGTTTAGCCTGTGATAGTATGAGAAATCGGAGTAATTATGCTCTTCAAGATTTATTTCATTGTACCTGAATTATTACATGTAATACCATTTATGACGCTTACATTTACACCTTAGATGTTTTACAGTTAGAGGAATGTTAGTCTGACTCTTCACAAAATAACAATCACAATACAAAATTGTATTGATAATAAACAGTTTTGATTTTGTTTATCATAAACCGACCTAGCATAAAATATTCTTTGTACGTATTTAACTTTAGCATATCTAAAAAAGACTCATATTTCAGTCTCTTTGTATTCTGCTCTCTCTTACAGGGTTTTCCCGGGGTTATCTGGCTATAAAGGGGGGCTCTGACTATATAGTCATCATTCCTAGAAGGGTAACTATTATATAGCCATTTTTTAGAGGCTTTAGGACTGCCATATAGCCAGGTTTGGTTGGGAAGATGGCTATGGGGAAAGGCTACTATACAACACTGGTGTGGTCGTATGTTAAGTATAAGCAGTTTAATATCATGGTTCAAACCTTTAAATTTCAATAGATCTTTACTTAATTTGATACTTTTTCTCTCTTGTAGGCCACATGGGCGATTACAGTGTGTGGAAGACAAAGATATCAGGTGCGCATTCATAAACAGTGAGAACATAAAGAGGGTACTGGAGAAACTCGCGATTATTCCATACATCGAGAAGGACATTTATTTAAAGTTTATCCCATAATCACGTTGTTTAGTATTTTTTATTTATTTTTATTTTTATTTTTTTTTTTGATAATATGCCTCTTTGAAACAGAAATCGGAAATAGCAGTTTTGAAGAAAAATTCCTGCCTCTTTACGCGTATATCAAATTTATTCTGTTTCAAGGAGGCAATTTTTCAGAACAATGGGTATTCCGTATTCAAAAACCGGAAAATTTGACATGCGTTGTTGTGTGCCTAATTTACACCTCATTTGATTGTATAATATACATCGCTGTATCTGAAAAAATCCAACATTGTTTCTGTTACTTAAAATTCTCCTTTTTTATCTGCGACATTTCTAGGGAAATTAACAAAAGAACTGCAACACCCTCTTTTAAAACCGATTAATTTCTTTACAGTGGTTATGAAACGTGCATGGCTTCAAACATGTAATTTTCCATCCTTCAGATAGATCAAACACCGATATTTCATATCAGTTTGGTGTTAAAATCCTTAAGTTACAACACATTACGATATCGTTTATCAATTAGAATTAAAAAAAAATCTCACAAAAGATATTGACTAAACATCCCAGCTAAGTTAGCACTTTTTAGCTTAAAAACTCAAAAACTGACAATATATATGCACGGCTCTAAATGGAAGGGGGGGGGGTGGGTGGGTCCGGACCCCTTTGTGATTTTCCATCAGAGTTAAAAGGTCCTGTGTAAAAGTAACAAAGAAATTACCTTGACACCCTTGCCGGTAAACACGAATAGCCATGTTTCTGTTGAAGATACTGAGGAAATTGTGTTCTAGTGACACCCCCCCCCCCTACCCTCGACATAGTTTCTTTTTTCAGGTTTGAGGAATTGAATCAATTATACATGTATTTACTTTATTTTTTTGGAAGGGAGGGTTGAGTTGGGGGGGGAGGGAGGTGTCAAAAATGAACGGAAGTGATATCTGTTAGAGAGTTTACGTGGACCCACTTTGAAAAAAAATCTGCGCCTGTTAGACAGGGCTTATAAACCCTTCATATGTGTTACAATCTAATGATGATCTTGGGCGCTGATGTAAGATTTTCATATTTTGTCAGATGGGATGCTATACAGATGTCAAATAATCAAAATTTTATTTTTACTTTTTTGAATTAATATCAAAAACCTATACTTGAATCGGTATACAGATGTCAGTGGAGTCTCGTAATATATAAACGTGCGAAGAACTGTTCACATACTATGTGGTATCAACTTATTATTTTTAAAAGCTTATTTCTTTATTTTAACATATCGACAGACAATTTTTTTTTTCCAAAATGAGAAGGTATAGATGAAGCAAATTATGTCGGTGTTAAAATGAACCATATATATATTTTTAACCTTCTTTATAAAGTACTGATACCAGTTTAATTTGATCTTATTATCAGAGTAGCACTACTTTCTGAACAAAGAAAGAAAATTATTTCAGACGATTCATATTGAACTATCAATACTATTAGAGCACAACACAAGGTAAATTAGGGGGGGAAAAGATACCAAAAATAAAATCTTTACAAATAAGAAGATTATTTTTTTTATGAAAAAAAAAAACAAAAACAAAGGATAATTAATAATCTATTACATTTTGTAGACCAGTTCTCCACACTGACTGATGACGAACTGTTCGTGTTATTCTGTTTTCTGTGTTCCGACTCCGGTCCTCCTGACTTCACTGACACAGAGTGGCTGGACTTACTTAATAAGATACGCCTGAGAGTGTACGGTAAAGAGAATCCTGTAACAAGTGAGAAAGCGCAGCAGACTCTGGACAGACTGAAGTCACGTGATTACCTTTGGGAAGACGTGGACATGATAACGGAGGACACAAAGGATGAGACAATGTATAGGATAGCATCAATATACAGTGTTATACCATTCTATTACAGTAGTTATGACACAGCCAGTGTGTACCTGAGATCAGAGAGATACAACAGAAAACCTGGAGAGAAGTGTGTCAGTGGTGGTGGTTACTGTGATTACTTACTGATAGAGCGTCTACAGATGAACATACTGACTCACGTCACCATGGAGGACACGACTATATATGATAAGATACATCAGATATGTAAGTCAGTGAAGAAAAAAAAAATTTTCCAATTCGGAAAATGTTTCAGATGAGTGATGTAGTGATTAAGTATAGAGAATGATTTTTTTTTTGGCTAAGGAGCCTATGGAAAATATTGATTCGCATAGATTTTATAAATGAAAAAAAAATGCGTGGGGTTTAAATTCGATCTTATTTGTAATAAAATTTACTTGCAGGTATAATTAGGTATAATGTTTGTAATACATTATTCATCTTCTTCTACAGTGAATGTTTCAAACCAAAAACTAAATGACAGTGAAGATAAAAGAGAAGAATTTCTAATGGATCTAAGAAGAGAAGGGGAGGCTGTACATTACAGAGGAAGAACACAGGATAGTGTAGATCACGTGACATGGCTCTGGAGAGACTGGTTATTCTCAAGACCTGACATCGTGAGATCCTGTATAGGCCTCCATCCACACTGGGACATTTACATCATCGACAAGAAAGCTTACAGAAAAACAAGTAAGAAGAATAGTACAAAGATAAAGTCTTCATAAACATTAGCCTTATTTAACTCCTTATAATAATTAATGGTTCTAACACAAACAGGGGTGGGTGCGAGTGTTGGAAAATTATGTAGTATGTACCATATTTTTTTTTATAAACTACGTTTAATTGCACTGTTTAGAGGTATAAAATTGCTTTGATTTTCAAGCAGACTGTTGAATTCAAAGCTTTTATTCATAGATATTAAATAGCCTATAAAAGAGTATATATTATGCTGAAGTTATAATTTAATGAAAAAAACATATAAATTACATAAAATGCATGCTGTGTGTATGGAATTGACGATTTCATGGAAAACTATTTATTAGATCTTTTGACTCATTAAGCTGACGTTTATATCGATACCAGTCCTCATCAATGATCATAAAAGATCAAATTATATCTAAAAAGTACTTTGGAATACATTTTTTACTTGTATATGTGATTATACAAGCTTTGGGAGGTTTGATAAGGGTCATTAAAGGATCAGTGCACTTAAGCTATGAGAGTTGGATCCCGGTGCTTTGCCAATAATAAATTTTCGAAATTTATAAACATTTTTAATCAGAATTATACAAGAAATAACGTATCATTTTTAAACATCTATCGGGATATAAATACGGGTTTGTCACGAGATCAACTTCCATAAAACCCGAAGGGCTTTATGGTAAATTTAATCTCGTACCAACCCGTATTTATATCCCGATAGATGTTTTAAAATGATACTTTATTACTTATATTTACATTTATGACATTCATATTTTATATTTTCCTGATTGTAATCTTTAACGCGTGAAATGTTTTATTTTTCACACTAAACGGTGCGTACTTGATCCATTGATTGCGCGGCGACCCTTTATGACGTCACTGAGAAATTATGTTGAACGTTTATGACGCGAGGAACCCGTGTTTATACGGATATAGATACGCGCACAGGCATTTGGGGTATGGACACCCTCCCTTTCTATTTTTTTTTCTTTTTAAATCTGGGGTCGAGTCACCTTTTTCCTATTTTTATATTCTAATATGCACTATATGTTATCAATAATGTAACTCGTTTGTCTCTATATGCTGTTTTGAAATATACCGTTTTCGACTGATACATAAAAAGAAAGAAGACTTGCAACTCATTTCTCGTCGTCTGCCTCACCTCACTTAAACTTCGCCTGATTTTTTATCTAAAGCATAAGAACACATGGAATATCCATACATCAATAAATTTGTTACACATTATTCTTCCCTTTCATATTTCCATTTAATTTTTATGTGCCCCCGATTTGTAAATATTTCGATTAAATCACCCATATCTAGGGTAAATTTTGTTGATGTGCACTAGCTGGGACAGAAGTGCCCGGTATTTTCGGGCGTCATCATTAAGTGTAGTAAGTTCTGTATATAACTAGAAGATTCTGATGGATGATGATTAACATTTAACATACGACATAGACAACCAAATTTCACAATATTTTTATTACGAAGCCTGGAATTTTTATTAAATGCAGAACATTTGTAAAGTTAGAGTTACCGTTATTGCACTTCCGTCCCAGCTGCAATTCATTTCCGAATGTTATTTATCGATACATGCATATAATAACATATGTATCACCGTGAGTACTACATACATATATACTTTGTTTCACTACACGTTTGTATTACTACATACTACATGTACAGTGAATTAAGATTAAATGTAGTGTGAAATCGAAGTCAAATAAATGTGAATCTTTCCTAAAACATACATTCATTCTTGAATTGAAAAGCATTCAGCATATAAAAAGAAAAATGATAAAGCTAAAGAAAAATATGGGAGGGGGGGGGGTGGCATTTTTATCATATACAAAAACTTAAGATTGAGCTAATTCGGTGCTAGGCATCAAGCATATGGATACGAATCATGAAAATGATCAATATGTATGGCTATGAATCATTTATTATTTGTGTGAATCATAAAACTACACAATCTTTCTCTCCTCCATTTAAATTCATGCTGTAGAATCAATCTGGAAATAATGTGCAAATGTTTACATTCGACTTCCATGCGATTTAAATGTCTCCGCCCATTTGCGGGTACCTTTAATTCGAAAGTGGTCCAGTTCAAATTTCCGGAATTTAGGGCTTATACATGTTCTTTTCAATGACGTTGTGTGGAATTATAGCAATATGTTTAACAAAAAATTCGAAGTATAAATATCAAAAGCATATGTATGCACGATAGTCATAGATTAATTTAGCAATATAGTCTAATTTAAGGCTTAAAATGGGTGGCCGAAAAGGTTCCAAATGACATTCTAAAGTGCACTCATTCTTTAGAATCATCAAACTTTGCAAGTTTTAGCTCATACACTTGGGTCGATGGCTCAAGTGAGCTATTCTGACCGAAGTTTTTTCGTCGTCCATCAATCTGCTTGTCTGTTAACTTTTTATCTTCTACAGAACTCAAAGCCAATTTCTACCAAACATGCCAGGATCCGTCCTTGGTTGAAGGGATTTGAAGAAACATGTCCTTTTTAAAGGGAGATAATTAATAAGAAGTAAAAATCAATGCCAACTTTAAAAACTATTCTAAAATACGACTACACCAGAAAATTTTAGAACTTTCTTGAAAGTTTCATAACTTAATGTAGATTTTAATCTGAACAATTTATGCCACCTTATGCCACCTTTCCTCCTAAAGGGCTACAAATGGCATATAAAGTTTTAAATAGGAGTATGTAGACTCGTTAATACTCTAGCTTAAGGAACGTTCTTTTCATTCTCAGCATAGGAATATTTGATATCATATAATATGGTAGTTTAGACTAAAGATTGTTTAAATCATAACCACTAAATGTAACTTAGAAATATATATATTTTTAAAAAATCTGTTAATGAACCATAGCAAGGCCACGGTGACGCATTATGTCCCAAGAGCTCCTAGTTAGCTCACCTGAGCCAAAGCCTCTTTTCCAATCAAAATGTGTTTGTTGTCTGTCATCATTTTCTTCTAAACCTTTTCAAAATTTCATCTTCATCCACCAGTCCAAATTCAACCAAACTTTGTAAACAGCATCCTTAAATGAAGGAAATTCAACTTTTTGAAATGAAGGGCCACATGCTCTATCAAAGGGAAGATAGTTAGTAATTAGGAAAATGAAATGGCAATTTAAAAAAAATAAAAATAATAATTATTGAGAAAAAAATGTTTTTAAAAAATCCCAAGAACCACTGGGCTGGAAAAGATGAAATGTATGTGAAAACTTTATTATGTAGTGTAAATTCAAGTTTGTAAGAATTATGACACACGGGAAGGGTCAAATTAGGCAATCAAATTTTTACATGGAAAGTTATACTTTATACTTTAAACTTTATCTTTAAAAATCAAAAGAGAAGCAAAGATATAATAAGACATATTCAAAAATAAGCAACATTAGGTAGCGTAGATTCAAGTAGGTTTAAATATGATCAAATAAGTACGTTCGAGTATGACCCAGGGGAAAGGGTGGATCCAAAGCAGAAAATCAAAGTATTATGCAGGGATAATATATATATATATATATATATATATATATATATATATATATATATATATATATATATATATATATATATATATATATATCGTTGAAATTAGATCGCCTCAAGAACAGCAAAGCCATGAATGGTCATAATTATTTGGAAGCATTCTTAGGTATATATTGCAACTTCAAATCAACGCGGGATATGATTGGGCCATAATGGGCGATCAAACTTTAAAAATCTTTGAAAATCTTCTTCTCAAGAACATCAAAGCCATGGTAACATGTAGACATATTAATCTGGAAACATCCTCAGGCAGTGTAGGTTCAAGCGTTTTTGAAACCCCAGGGTAGGGTGGAGTCATATTAGGCAATCAAAGTTTTACATAAAATATGGAAAAAAAAATCTTTTTAAATTAAAAGGAGAACAAAGCCATGATTAGTCACATTAATCTCTAAGCGTCCTCAACTATTGTAGACACTAGTTTCTTCTAGTCATGTCCCCTGAGATAGGATGGGACAAAATAAGAGAAAGAAAAATTTGAGTAATTTTTTACCTAAAATATGTGAGAAAAATTCTGTAAAATTCTTCTGGTTCATGATGATTTATACATGTATTAATAAAGAGGCATTAATAGATAATGTAGACGTCTAGATCTATTTCAACCCCCCCCCCCCCCCCCCCCCCCCCCCGATCAGGGTTACACCAGGAGATTATAGATTTACTTTGTATTACATGTACACAGGAATAATTCTTTCAAAATCCCCAGAAGGACAGGAGAGACATAATTTATTAGTCATTTGTTATGAAATCGTCCTTAGTAACATGTAGTGTACATTTGAATTGATTGAAATCAATTTCTCAGGGGATACGAATGGGACACAATAGGAGATCAAGGTTTTATACATTATAGTAAAGGAGGAAATTTTTAAAAAACTTTAAAAAGGCCAGGATCCTTAGGTTGTGTAAATTCAAGACTGTTTACATCAGGTCCAAGGGGGTTCAATGTAGGTGGTGATATATCAGGGGATCAGAGTTATTCAAGGAAGTATGTAGGAACCAGTAGCAATGCTATGTTATATCATAACAATACGATAAAAATATCTTATGTTACGGTGGATCTTTTTTTTCTTAAATTATTGTCCCTAGAGTTAAGTTAAAATCGGAGTTTACAAAATGATATTGTACAGGGAAAAATCTTTTTTAAAATCCCCTACAGAAGAGAAAAGCCATGCTAAGAATATTGATATTAAAGCATCCCAATGTTGTGTAGATTCACGCTGGTTTAATCATAACCCGTTGAGATTAGGTAGAGGTTACAATAAAGATTCATATTTTTAAGTTCATGGGAAAAATCAATTTTTAGTGTAAGAACAACAGGTACCAGGTGACTCAGGCAGACTTTTCAAAATCCGTCGGTCCTGTCGGCTAGGCTGGAAAAATTTTATCTAGACCGATAACTTTTAAAAGAAAGAACGTAG